GGCTATCGACCCAATCGGTCTTTCTGCCCTGATGTAATATTTATGTGCGTGTTTCGTAAAAATAGTTCTGTTTTATTCATATTTCTGCGGCAGCAGCATTTATCTTCGTACGTTCTTCTTGCAATATTGTTTAGTAGTTTAAGCCTACAAGTTATTCAAATCAAAATATTTCTGCCTGTAAACCCGATTTGATGTGATCACTTTTTAAATTTTATGTTCAAAGTTGCTAAAACATTCATTTGATAAGAGTTTGAACATGCTTGAAGTCGAAAGACACACTTAGCGATGATTATCTTTGCTAATTTGCTTCTAAAAATTTTTATCACACGAAGTTCAACAACAAATCGCAAATGCTATTAACAATTAAAAAAAAAAAAAACCTTATCTCGTGTTACATTTTTCTCGAGAACGTAAACTATTTTCATTTTTTATAAAAATTATTTGGATACGTTTTTCTGAATTATTTCCTTAATTTTTTAAAAGTTAAGCGCCATTATTATACTTTTACTAAATTTTTGTACTGTATTTGAATTCTGATTTAAATATCTCTCTGACCAGAACTATGGGAATATCTACTTACATTTTTGGGAAACTATGGGACTATTTACTTTTAAAACATAATTTGTCTTCCTTTCCTCAATTTGTTCTTTTATAAGATAATGAATCAAACACAAAAGGGTTGTGCTTAAAATATAAAATCTCGGTTGCAATTCAAAAATCAGTTTTATGTAGAAGTAAAAAAAAATGTTCTTATCTTAAGCTTAACCTTAACATTAACTTGTATGTAGATTATTGTATAATTTTTGAGAAATTAAGCTGGTTTTCCAACGCCTTGAAATGAAAAGGGAAACTGATAAAACCCAGAAGAGTTTTGATAAAATCGATACAAATATCGATTTTATCATGTTATTCAAAAATAATAGTCATACGATCTATAAATATGCAATAAAAGTGTAGTTAGCGCACTTCAGTTAGAGTCCACACCAATTAATCAAAACCTGGTTTTAAAGCCAATAATTTAAAAATAATAGAGAACGCGCTCGCAAATGCTACATATTTTAACTTTTGATGCCATACTCGTACATTGCTTAGGAGAGCAAAAACTGTAAATTCTATTACTATAAGGTCCTAGAGATCGCAAATTTAATAAAATGGTAAATCATACGCTTGATATTAACAATCTGAGCAATATATTAATTTATAAAAGATGATATAGAGAAACTATAAAAATAAAATTAGAAAATACCGAGAAAAACTATATAGACAAAAACATAATTAAAAATGGGAATATGAAAAAAGCTAATAATATTAAGCAGTAAATTAAGCATATGGAGTAAGCAGGGAAATACGCAAGACGCAGTTGGCAGTATGGGAGTCCCAAGAAATTGAAATGGAAATAAAAATCGTAGAAAATAAAAATTAACCATGAAAAAAATTAAAAGGTCTAGGCACTTGCAACAGAAGCAAAGATTGATAAGGTTTGGAGCTATAATAGAAAAATAGACAACAAAGGCAACCGGTTTCACCAAGAGAATAGTAGGTGGTAAGAAAGTGGACATTTAGGTACTCACAGAACAAGGAAAATTTACAAAACGTTGAACAGAATGCAATCTAGAATTCTTTGCAACGCAAAAAAGCAATGAGTGGCTGGAGCAAATACTACTGCAGATCATATATTTTATGTAAAACAAAGCACATAATAAAAGAAATAGAAAAATTCCCAATTTTCAAAGAATCAGGGAAAATAACATGACTTGTTTTAAAAGGATGATATATAAAGGGATATACTATAAGAATGAGAAAAGTATTTGAAAGTAATATTAGAACACATACAATACGATCTCCGATCATATAAATGGAAATAAATTCATATCTTTGGCAGCAAAAATACCTGATGATATTTAACCGAAACGTATGCACCTAATAATCGCTGTGAAAGTTGCCTTTTAAATGAGCGAATATCCTGGAATTTCGCACACTCTTAAGAAAATGATTACTACTTACCTAATGGAAGCAGAAAAATGCCGATTAGCATCATCCAGGATCGTGTGTCAATTGCTCCTTCGGGAAATGTTCCAATCATTAGATCTCCGCAAACCACCACGTAAAGAATGCAGGTCATTAGCAGTTCTATTATTTGAGCAATGCTTACTATTTTAGCACCATAATTTTTGCCGAAGCACTCTTTGGCAATGGCCACGTAAGAGTCTCTCACACGTATCCGTCTAAAAAAATATTTGAAAAATTAAACTTTTTAAAACTTTAATTTCCTTTGGGTTAAAGAACTTTATGTTCTAACCTTCCAGTTTGCAAGTCAATTTCATAAAGGCAATCTACTAGTATTTTTCCGGTATAGCAGCAAATTTGAGCCACGAGAATCATGGCTGCGATTGCCCAATACCCTCCAATTTGTACTGCAAATGGAAGGGATACAATAAACATTCCCTAAAAATTTAATTAAAAAAAAACAAGTGGGAAATTGTATATTTCGTTTTTTCCATATGCTCACTTGAATAGCGTTGGTCACATTCCAAGCGGCTTGATATTCGTTAATTTTTACATCACTTTTTCCTTCAACAAAATCGCTTCCTTCTGAGAAATCCACTGATGACATTTTGCTTGACTGCTTGATGATTCCTCCTTGGGCATTATTGAAATCACTCTCCTAATAAGAAGATAATTCAGTTTAGATTATTCATTATAAATGGTGTTTGAGAGCAACTAAAAAATAAGGAAATATTGGGAACAGAGCATATTAAACATATTCAAGAAGATGCTATGTGCCAATCAATATAAAAGAATTGCCGAATTTGTTTCTTTTTCAATATAGAATTACGAAAATTTTTGTTGCTGTGATTCAATAAAAAACGAACTCCAGTGTTTTGTTGATCAAATGTCCAAATGCTTAATCCATTAATTTTTATTATTTTGTTTTTAGTCACTAAACATATCTGACAAATAAAGCGGGATATGAAAATTAGCGCAAAATAGTAAAATAAAACCTGAGATAATTGTAAAATTGCAAACTTATGTTAGGTTTTTTAAACGTTAATCCGCGTGTTTGAAAAATACAATTTAGCACTAATATATATATTCTTAAATTTGTGCAGTAAACGTACGAAATAAAGACATCTCGTGTATACATAAGTATATGGATTCGTTGCTGTTTTTCAGTTGTGATATTCTGTACATTAATAGAGTTGTGTTGCTTTTAACTTTGTTCATTTTTCCCAGACTGGCTGGGAATGGGTTACGTTTTTTCTTTAATTGCGACTTCAAAAATATTCTCATCTCGGTTATTTCAAACTCTCTTTTAGATCTTTTAAACAGACTAGAATACATGAAACAGCTGAAATTCTGACATTGATTTGTTAAATAGTCTTCGAGGCAAGGAAGTTGAACATTTTCAAGCATAAACTCAATGAATCAATACGACTTTTCAAATATATATTTTAGTAGGAAATTATGATAATTTTTTGCAAGAAAAATATAGCTATAGAGTGACGATACTTTGCGAAAATAAATTTATATAATACATAGCTTGAAACAGTATTAAACAATCAGACAATTAGGAAAACCACTGACCAAATCAACCTCATTGGGAAGCACTGAATACCTATGAATGAAGTTATTTGAATTTTACCGATAAAATGTACAAACAAAGTACAAATGAACAAAACTATTGAGTTTCCTCTCAATTAAGAAATATCCCCTTTTATTTGCAGCATTCCGCTTAAAATAATTTTGATTTGGGCAAAATATAATTTAGTTCAATCCAAATTATGTGAGATGAAACACTACATTGTTCTCAAACGTTATTTGAAGCTTTTGATCGAAATTTAACCAGGTTTTTTCCTATTTCCAAACAGATTGTATTTAAAAATAATTATCTAATCGTCAATTTTAATTTTCTATCAATTTCAAACAGAATATTTTAAGCATTGTAAATAAATAAAACAAGTAACTGGAGTTAGCATAAATAAAACAAGGCTCTTTGCTCGTTTGCTCACCTGTTGAAATCCTCCAGGTTCTCCAGCCTCCATTTGATTTTGCAAAAAGGGGTTGTTGGGATTTGAAGAACCAAAGGGATTGGTGCTGGATTGCATGTTTGACATTTCGTGGTGTTCATTGATGGTGCCTCCGTGTGTTGTGTGGTTTTGGTTCGGGAGCTGAGCGAAATGCACCTGAAGGAGTTGAATTACATAAAATAGGTTCATTCACTTGTTGCCATATCAAGATTTTGCGGTAAAATTAAGATTTTTTGAAAACATGCGGATACTTACTCGCTCCCCATGTCCATGTCCATGTCCTATCTGGCTAGGCCTCTCAGCGGGAGTAGAAGAGGGCAAAATTTGCCTTTTTATCTGACTAGCAACGTTTACGGCTGCACTCAGAGGCGGCAACTTAATACCCCCAAAACGATTCATTTTCCTTCAGAGTAACACCAATCTAGCCACTTATTGCAACTTTTCAATAGAAATTTAGTATTTTTTATTCACAACTTTCAGAGATCAATATCAGGTTTCTTCATGCGATTTTCCCTTTTCGACTGCTGATTAATCCAAACAACCCCCTTTCGGACTGTATCCTATCAGTTCAGTACTTCCCTGTGCAACCGAGTTTAACTAAAACACATTTTCCGTATAAACTTACTTGATTTGTTTAAACGTGGATTTTCATCTTGGAGGATGCCTGGATAAAACCGAGCGATTCTGGATGATCAAATACGCTTGTGCCGCACAGAGATGGAATCAGGGGGTTGATATCGATTAATTGGCCCCGATTCCTATAGGGCGGTATTTGAATAGGAAGGTTAGGAAGTGAAGAGTTTTGTGCTCGTTGTTGAGGTTTTGAGCAGGATGGGATTGAGAAAAATGTTGGTAAAATCAAAGTTGAGTTGTAACTAAAGTAAATTGACAGAGTATTAGTTAAGTATACTTTCAGCCGCATTGGATTAGAAGAAATTGTTAAAATAGAAATGCTAGCAAATGTAAAAAAATGGGCAACTAACGCAGCCCGAGGCATCTTGTATGTAGATTTTTCTAGCTAAAAGCAAGCTTGAGATTAATTTGCAAATCATTACGATTATATGGGGAACAAAACCTTAATGGCAGAAACCGAGTAACAGCTTCATATATTGTAAAAGCCGATACTTTGATCAATTTGAATTTTACGAACAATTTCCCTGTTTCCATATCTATAACATTTGGTTTAAGGATTGAGCTATTTGTAAGTAAAGTAAACTGAAGGAATTAAAACACATTTGCCGGAAAATATTAATGATTTGAGCTGCAACCTAAACAACACATTTTTTGGACTTTTTTTCTAAATTGAAAAACAGTCGTTACGGTTTAAGATTGCTTACATCAATACTTTCAAGAGTAACTCACTACATTGCTAGATGGCACCTTCTCTTAACACATATCTATTTTCTTTTTGGGTTCTATAAAAACATTAATTTGCAGAGTTCGTTGGTAAATTGACTTAAACATGAAGTAATTTTTAGCAGTGTTTGTTAGCTTTGTTAAGTAAAGTATAATTCGATAGATACAAATATTTATGGTGACTTCAAGATTTCTTATACTTACCTGGAAAAACTTGAGTGCACTCAGAACACATGATCATACATTTTTTAATTACAACGAAATCTAATTATGAAAAACTGATACAATACCATCCGAGAATTCGGGATAGATTTTCATGTGAAGAAAAGAAAACGCATTTTGTATAGCCTTAATTAATTTATTAAATATTTTAGTTTTGCGTAATATGTGATTTGAGACAGTTAATAATCGATTTTTGTAAATCGGCGTGAACTGTTTGAACTTGATTTGTGGAACAAAATATGTATATATATTTTTTTAAATACATCAATATTTCGATATTATGCGATCGTTTGAAGTGACCTTTCTGGTAATACAATCGCATCTCTCAGAAGCATTGTTAGTAATTTCAAAGCTTATCTGATACACATGCACATAGTTGTAATAAAACGTCCCTCAAAAATGCTTCATGTTTATTTTCCGCACTCAAAAGCCGAAATAACAGATTTTTGCTTTAAATTCAAGACATTTTCCGAAGATAAAACATTTGATTGTTGAAACGTGATATATTGTTTCTAGAGACAGTTTCAAATTGCAAATAATTGCAAAATTTAACTCAACGGATTTTTTTCTATATTTCATTATTTTCTGAATATAAAATAGAAAAATGTTCTATATGCCATTTTGAGAACATACAAACTTGTATTTTTAAGGGTTTTAGAAGTCTATTCTGTACTCGTCTCGCTAAACGGCGAATACCTCTAAAGTCAAATCTTTAGAACCCCGTTTCAAAACATTTTATGAAATGGTATTTCTCGTTCTACATCTTCCGCTTTCTTAGAGAGACATATTTTAGCTGTAACTCTAAAAATAACCAACCAAAGCATTGGCATACAAAAATAAAATGTCTGTACAATAATTAATACCTGTCGCTTTCTCCCAGAACAACAGAACTGCAACAGGAGTTCATAGCACGTTTCAAGAAGCTCTTAACTTCAAGAAAGTGCAAACATTTTTAAAGCGAAAAAACAATGAGGAATAGAATTTAACCAAATTTAACTACCAAAAACCATTCCGGCCAGTGAAAAAATGTAACTACCCCATTTAATTTTATTCAATTTAAATCTTATTTAGCTTTTACAATTTTGAATCGATTCAGATAATTTTTTTTTAAATCTTGGGTATTTTCAACTGAACCAAAAAGTTGGAAATACCATAAATATCCAAAAAGTAGGATTTGAGTGAAGCCAAGAGATGTTTTTTTTACCTTAAATCCCTTATACTAGAGAATAAAAGCACAATGCTATATAATTACACACGATTGTTAAATTTCAGGTTTGCTTAACATTCCGTTTTTTCATTCATGACGATACAACAACTCTGAAAGCAGTTACAATTTTTTAACAACATTATGTACTTCACCACTAACATATATTTAAATTGCACCATATTGAGCGTGTTCGATTTTTTGACCCAGGAGTTTATTTTTGTATCAAATTACTGTACTCGCAAAAGTAACAGAACTGGGAACTTAATGCATTGTCCATTGTTCTGGATTTTTGGCAAATTTTCTCGTTTGATTAGATTGGGGCACCCCATTATGGTATTTAATATTTCTATGTTCACATTCATATGACAATTACATTATATTCCAGCCTCGTGTGCATTAAGGCTTGCCACAAAGCTCGATTTTTCAAATACATGAATGAATTTGTGCAAATTTGCAGCTTATGTATGTCATATGAACGTGAGTTCCCGACAAATATTGCGTTATATTTTAATGTTCAAACTACTGTGCCTTGACGCATTTCTATTGAAATATAAATAATAGTAGCAGTTGGACAAATGTGGTCCAATCATTATCAATGGGTTGTTTGCAACATTTTTCTGATCAATTGAGAAATTTCTCGTCTTTATTCTAGTTTATTAGTCTTGTAGGATCTTTGAATTTTCATCTAGATGATCATATTTGAAACACTGTTTGCGAAAAATTGCACAGAGCTAAAAAGATAAAATCAAAAAGAAGTTTGTAAAAGAAACCTACTATCGGTATTCCTTGCCGTAAAGATCAAATAAGTAAAAAAATATTCCAAGTCCCCGAGGCACTCCAGTAAACAGAAAAACATACTCTGAAGTATTTTCTCGGTTTTATTCCGTTAATACGGAAAATACTTTCCTATTCTATTATAGAAACTTATTGAATCTTTGTGAAAGATAGGCTTTGCTAAACGAATTGTTTAGATGCCAAAATTGGTTTTTCTTTCAATTTTTGTTCTTGCAGGTGTTTTTTAATCGGATTAACTGTGATTTGAGTGGTGTCTCTATTAGCTAGAAAATCTGTTTTAAATCTTCCTTAAAAACTTAAGAGCCTTTTTCCTTTGACAATTCTTCCTGAATAACTTCATTTAATGTAATTTCAAGCATATCCAAAAGAAAAACTGGCCTCATAAAGCACTTGATGTCGATTTTACTTCAATTAAAATTTTAAGTCCAATTCTAGTTTTATATAAACGATCTCGAAAGTTTTAAACCAAAATTCGGCGAAGTTTTAAAGTTAAAAAATACCAAAACAAATTGTCGAGAACGTCTTAAAAGCCTTTAAACTTCGTCGATTAGATCTGGAAGAATATAAATTTGGTTTAGCGGTTCAGGCTGCACTTTTGTTCGCGTAGCTGATTGTAGCCATAAGCGATATACATTTGTAATCGATCTTTAATATAAAAAAGCTGAAGGGGTTTTGGCATTAAGCTGATAATATAGGCAATATTTATTGATCTGTTCTAAAAGGGCAAATATCGGATTTTTACTTTCCTAAACTTCAAGAAATTCCCTTTCTGCGCTTTAGGTTGTTAAAACTTTTGAAAATCCGCGCAAAATTGCCTTCGCATTTTATCCTATTTTTATAAGCAACAACATACAATATCGATTTTTTGGAATGAAATAGGTGAGCGTAGGCCACGTACCAATTGACCTTTCTGTCCATGCTATTTCCAGTATAGAAATGCGTAATTACTTGATAGTAATTTAAAGGTTTTCTAATTCCCAATTAGAAATCGAGGGAACCGCAGAACGAAACGGGATTGTCTTGTGACAAGATTTGTGTAGGATAGTTTCTCTTGTATAAGATTCTTTCTCTCATAGAAGTTCTAAAGTCGTTCAGTTGTGGAGGTTGACTTTCCATTTTGTCTGTTGTTAAGACAAGTATTTAATGGTTTGGCGAAAACTTAGTAAATTCTAAAGTAGTTTTTTGCCATAAATGTTTGCTTGAAATTCAGTTTAATTCCAATATGCGCTTAATCATTATCCATAATGACGGTAGTTAATTGAGCCATTTTAACTCATCAATGTTATGAAAATCTTAATCTCCTGTATAATAACGATAATTAAAAATCTCGTTTAAATGGATAGAATATTGGCGAGTGACACGAATTGATAAATGACGATTATACGACGAAACCAATAGAGGGAAAAGGCGACATATTTTTTGTGTTCGTCGTTGTAAGGAAAATTTATCTTGTCAAAGAATGGACTTGAAAAATGGAGTTGCTCCCATTTTTATTATTTGGTTTCCTTGCGGCATACAAACACATATTCTTAAATCATACCAAGGCCTTTAACACTTTTGAATGCAAGTTTTATGCAAACAATTCAGAATACCTCTACGAAAGTACGCTAAAAATAACGGTTTCATGTTGACTATAATATCTAAGGTGATTATTATTTCTGCTCCCGAAGCGAAATATTTTAATAAATTACAGAAGTTTTAGAGGTTTCGCCCATAAATCAAAAGTTGGTTTGATTTATTAGTCGATTTACAGCCTGATAAATAGAACTCAATCTAACTTAAGTTGTATAGGCACCTAAATATTTGGTAGAAAGCGAGTGCAATAAGAGACTGATTATAATTTTCCCTGATTTATTAAACAAAATATATGACCATTTATATACAGCTGAATATTAAACACCACATTTAATAGCAATAATGCAGATTTTTCTCAGTAATATAAGTATGTTTTACAATTTATTATCTAACGAATTGCAAAAGAAGCTAGAAATCAGTAAAGTCTTTGTAACATTTAGAAATCAATATACATTCAGATAGTTTATTGACGCATATTATTGGCCTACTTACAATATTTATATGGGATGTATGTATGAACATGGAAAATGTTCCAAGAAACAGTGGCTTAATACTAACATTCGTTTAATTATTTTATAAAATTATTCAAATTGCAAGAATTGAAACCTCAGATAACTGAACTTCTTCTGAATTTTTAATTCTTCATATTCTCGCTTAAATTTAAAACTTATATGTAGTTAATTATAAAACACAATGCTATAATAGTCACTAATAAATTTCTATTTGCACAGTTTGTTACATGATATATTTCAAAGTAAAGTAGTTTTATTATTTAGCAAACAAATACTTTTAATGCTCTGTAAACTTTATAAATCAATAGTGTGATAAAAATATTATAACAATTACTATGTACATGTTGATGCATGAATTATAATATACTTGAAACTAGTTCCGTTTATAAAAAGTTTAAAATTACAAAAGTCGCATATTTTAGTTTTATAAAAAAGGAACTTTTTTACCATGATTAATTGGAAACTAAGTCAACTTAATCAAAGAACCTTTAAATGACCACTGATCACTTCCTACACAATTTGAAATTTTGAAAACTTATTGAATAAAATCTAATACTAATTTAATTTCGGAAGCTTCCCCTGGATAATTTTCTGCTATTTACACTGTATACACCACTCTGTGATTCGAACACTCTGACTAATAAAATTTTGATTTTTTTAACTGGATAAATTCACTGTTATCTACACCGCACAAGTCCTGGTTTTTTGAGAGGACTGTCTCCTGCTGATTCCAAAGTCGTTGGGAGGATTAAGTAAAGGTAAAGCTTTGTTGGCTGGAACTTGAAATCCTGAACCTGAACTGTCGGCCGCCCACTAAAAAACGTTTAATTTTAAATGTGTTCCAGTTACATGAATTAACGTTGTAAAACATTCAAGTTACTCAACGGGGAATTATTAAATAATTAACAATTCCATTCCTTAAGCACTAAGCCAAGCCACATTTAGAAGAAGACAATTTATAAAATATTTTCAGTTTGTTAGTGTCAAAAGTTTATTTTGGATCGCTTTAAATCGGGCTCGGAAATATATTATAAGAATTGAGTGCAAGAATCTTCTCTAAAACGACTTAATAAATTTACGTACATGGTTCATGGGGTTGTGTTTCTTCCTCCTACATCGAATTTTAAATTTCAACAGGCTCTTGATTGAATTTCTGAAATTCCTGGACAGAGCACAGTAAATAATCGGGTTTAATGCTGAATTTGAGTGGCCCAGCAATAAGAGATATACGTTAACGGACTCTGCTTCTGTATGGCCTGTTATGTTCATTACCAAGTTCATGATGTGGTAAGGCAGCCAACAAGCAGCAAATACCACAGCTAGCAAAAGTAAGATGCATGCGACTCTCTTTCTGGATCTCATCACTCGATTTCTCTGGAAATAAAAAAAAATCGCTGTCAGTAACAGTTTCAGTGTAACTTGTTCAAAGGAAATTAATTACTACTTTCAGTGCCATTTTCAATAGTTTCGCCCATCCAAAAATTTCAAGAGTTTCTTCTGGCAGGGGTATGATACCATATATCACAGGCTAGTAATTTTCTGGATAATATGATTCCGACGCTCTTAAGAGAAAAAGTCTGGAATAATGCCAATCTGGTCTGGAATGTCCAATATGTTTCTGCCAGCTGTTTAAGTTTGTGTATAACGCGTGTGGCATTAGCATAATGCCCTTTTTCACTTATGTGATAGTTCTTAAGCGTTGGTGTAAGTTTAATTTATTTCCGCTTTGTGCCATATTCTGCTTTTATGCAAGTTGCTTTAAATGCAGTAAAACATTGAATTCCTATTCATTTGGGTTAAAGACTTACTACTGTATGCATTCACAAATGCGAAAGCGATTTGTGGATCAGCTTCCAGTAGCAACTTTGATTATAAATTCGAATTCTCCTCTATATGAGAAACAGTGAACTGTACAGCAGTTAGTCTTATTTTATGAAAAATAATATTTTTTGTTAACAATAACAAAAACATTCTCACTTAAAAAAAAATCCTGTCATAATGCAACAGTTGATGCAAAGTAGTGCGGAATGGTTACAAAACATGTTTCAAACATGCATTAATTTACAGAGAATGATGATTCAATAGTGTTCTTCCACTTCACCACAAGTAAATTCAACGTACAGGATGGGCCAATGCAAAGTTTTCGCCCCGATTAAATTCAGTTGCTACCTAAAAACCTAAAAACCAAAAATGCCTTATTCTAGAACATGGAGAGAGGGTGGCAGTTTTTGTAAACTGTAGTCTGCAAATTAATCCGTGAGAAAAAAATTTAGTTGCTGATCTTTCGATAACCCCGTAATCTCTAAAAGTGGAGTTTAGAAGTTAAGGAACTCATGCTGCATAATACAATATCATATTTTTTTCTGAGTAATCATCATTTTTCCCAAGAACCTATATGTTATTCTGGGAACGATACTTTCTTGAAGGAAATTAAAATGCATCTGCTCGATTAAATTGCCTTGTAAAAAAATGGTTCAATTTATTACATTTCAAACGTGTAAATTCAGACTACCATACACAGAGAGAAATTGATATGAGTGTTGATTGTGTTTGGCCAAATACAATACCATTCTTTCTCTTTGAACGAAAGTGAATGAAAGATTCTAATCTGATAAATTCTAATCTAATGTTGTTATTTGCCACTTTTTGCAATCATAAAATTAGGCTAGGGCTTTGTGGTGAAAAATTTGGAACCTCTAAAGCTACCTCAGAGTGGAATGAAATTCTGTAAAAATCAACCATTTTCCGCGTTTTTTGCAATATTAATTGCTTCATTTGGCTATTCTTAAGGAAAACATCGCTTTTACAGAACTGTTACACCGTTTTTCAATAAAAATTATGAAAGCACTTTTTAGATTAAAGTTAAACGAATGTAAAACAATAGAAAAAAA